GTACAATTAGATAACAATAGCATCAAACAGCCTAGAAAATGACAAACTGTGGTTATTAATTTGCCACCTTTAACCATATGAACTAGATTTGTGGTTATATAACAAAATCTAGGGGTAACCCATTTTCCAGTCCCCCTTCTGTCTTAGACATAAGCTATGTTTCTCCCCATAAACTTTTCTTACTCTTTAAAACAATATAAAACAAATCAGAAAATTGTGTTCCATAAATATGCCCTTAGTATGATTTTACCCTCAGAGGAAAAAATTCAAAAGGGGTTTAGGGGAAGAAATAGAGAAACTGAGGAAGGGGAAGAGATTAGAAGTGAGGCTGGAAGACAAAGGAAGTTTATGCAAACTTTTGGAAAGTGGTGAAGACAAGAGGGAAAGAGAGAAGGGAGAAATAAAACCAAGAACAGAGCAACAACAATAAAAACTAGAAGCAATGTTCACACATATAAGAACAAGAGCAAACAATTGAGAAAAAACAAAGCAAAACAAAAACAAGAAAAGAAAATGTCCATTCAAGGTGTGTCTCTGCACTCAATGGTAGAAAAGTTGGGCACACAAATCCCTAGATCTGTGGTGATTAATCACAGCAAGCCAGTTACAGATTTGCAGGGGGTGGGTAGTGGATAATACCAGCAAGCCCACACCTTTAGTTCTGAAGCTCAGACTGGTTTCTGGCTTTGAGGCTGGAACTCATTTTTTTCAGCCTGCAACACCCCATGTGCCTCCTGCTGGCTTGAAATTGGCTCCTTGATCTCCTGCCAACTTGAACTTTGTTCTGCCTCACCTGCACACTGGGAGCTGATGGATGGATGGAGCCAGCCTAACACTTCAACTGAGTTTCAAGCTCAGCTGGCCCCTCTCCAAGACAACTACCAGCCAATCACCCTCTCCTGGGGACATGTGAACCCAAATAACAGGCACTGCAGCCCACTGCATCCACTGCTCCACTGCACTGATGCATTTCTCCATGAAGGCCTCTGAGGTCACCAGTAGTCACCATGTGCCTGCTGGTTTGAGCCACCCTTCCCATGTGGTCAGTTAAGGCTCGGGGAGAAAGTACGGCTTGCTACCTCTTTCTTCTTCATTAGAGTTTCTCTTCGCACTCCCTGTGCACTTCAGTTCTTGCTTCAGATCCTTGCTGTGTCCTGGGGACCCACTTCCCTCCTTCTCTTCTTTGCATTGCTCTATTCCAGCATCTAGACACCAAACTTGCTGCTTATCACTCTGCCATCTTCCCAGAAGTGCAATTCTTATGTTAATTGAGCTACGTAAGAACTTTCTGGTCCTGAGTTCTGACTTTGTCTTCCTGATTACTTGTTTACCTGCCTTTGTCTTTTTAATTCCTCAGAGTCTAGCTGCCTTTGCCCTTCTAATTGCTGTAATCTGGCTGCAGCAGTCAAAACTGCCTTATTTTTAATAAAGTTCAATGAAGCCTTCATACTATCTTTTCCCTAACTACAGTGCTTCCTGTCCCTACAATAGGAGGGTAATGGCTGACAAACAGGTGACAGGGCTGAGCTCAGCCTGTATAGAGGAAAGGTCAGAAGGTTCCATCTGTCAGGCATCGTGGTGCATGCCTGTAATCCCAGCACTCTGGAGGCTGAGGCAGGAGAATAGTGGTGAGTTTGAGGCCAGCCTTGGCTACATAGTGAGTTCAAGGCCAGCCTGGACTACATAGCAAGACCTTGCCTCAAAAAACAATAAACAGGTTCTTTCTATTCACAGGTGGAAAGGCCCATTCATGGGGAAAGTGGGTGGCCTGGGAAGGACTTTAGGGTTTTTAGACTGGGTCTGTGTCCTAAACTTACAGTTTTGCTGCAAGTAGAATTTTTCAGTTGTACCTTTCCTTGTCTCCTTTTCCCTTGTCCCATTCTCCTGTTCTGCCTCATCCTCCACTCTGGCTGCTCTTGGTATAGGGGGAAGAGATGTAACTCACAAACCTGCTAGATATCCAAAGTAAGTGTTTCTGTTCTCTAAAATCAAATGAATTCTAGGAGCAATGGAGGTTAAGAGTAGAAAAATTTGAAAGATAGCTTCTAAGAGAGACAGAAAGGGGACCAGAAAATGCGTTGTCCAGTCACCCAACTTCTCAAAGATGTTTTATGGGACAAAGCCACAAGGTAAACTAGGTTCAAGGTGGAGCTATAGCCAACTAGTAAGATTACAAGTACAGTTGCTTAGGTAATATTGATCCAATGAGAAATCACAAGGTGCTCAAATCTATGAACAACAAATAAGATTATGACAAGTATAGTTGCTTAGGTAATATTGATTAAATGAGGATCCAATGGGGAAATAAGTCAGTAGCAAGCATACAAGGAATGAGTAAGGATTTTTGGTGGTAAGGGGTGGATCAGGGATCTTTCTTGAAAGATCTTGGTCCCCCACCCAGGTGGTTGATACATTTTTACAATATCAATCACTACTATTTATCCTACTTGGGTATGAAAGTTTCTCTCCTTTTATAATGCTGGCCTTCAGTGAATGTGTCTTGACTGTCCTCCATGTTGGCTTCTAGAGGGCTAGCCCTGTCTAACTGACATCTAATTAACTTACCTACCTACAACACTCAGCTCTTCCTTGTCTTACAGAGTGAGTGTCTATCCTGGGAGGTTGGAAGACAGCCATAAGTCACCTCAAGTGAGTAAACCGGGTGGGGTGGCAGGAGAATATCTGCCCCACACCTGCCCATGGCCCAGGTCCTGGAAGAACACATGCATCACTCTTGGCCACAGGTGGTGGAACCACTGGGGCCTTTAGCCATGCTCTACCTATGAGGGGCTGGAATCTGAGGCTGCCAGGCACTGAGGGATCTGGAGAGATTGGGACCCAGCCCAGGGCTTTGGTGCTGCTGGGGAGGCCAGATCTGACATGGCACAGGACCAAGTTGAGTTTTACATAATAGAAATGCATCCCCTGGAGGGAATCATGGGAACTGCAGACCAGAAACAAAACAATGGGCAGCCTTAAGGACTCCTGGGAGGGGAGGGATGAGCATGGGGAGCCAGGCTGAGGTGGGGCAGCTGGCTGGGGCTCAGGAGAGCCCATGGTGAGCTGACTGTGACCTTGTGATGGCGATCTGTCCTTGGGCAGAGAGGGAGGCTGAGGCAGAGTTCGCATCAGAGAAAAAGCTGCCCAGGCCTGGCCACCCTCCTGGGATTCTGACTTGAAGCCTAGTAAGAGAAGGAGCGGAAAGAGACCAGTGAGCTCCTCACATGTTATTTTGTTTTTTTCCTCACAAAAGCCCTCTGCACCCAGGCATTGTGGCACATATCTGTAATCCCAACACTCTGGGAGGCTGAGGCAGAAGGATCACCACAAGTTTGAGGCCAGCCCAGGCAGCTTAGTGACTCAGCAAGACCCTGTCTCCAAATAAGTGTGAAAAATGGGCTGGGATGCAGCTCAGTGAGAAGCCCTGGTATCAGCCCCACTACCAAAGGGGAAAAGTCTGCAGAGGAGTTAATAGCCCCACTTGCTATGAGGAAACTGAGACACTGAGTAGCTATGGGTTATTGACAGCACCAAGATTCAGACTCAGGCCTGGCAGTTTGAGCCCCTGAGCTGTTTCTGCAATGCCAGCTGCCTGCTGGCTCTGGCTCACCAGAGGATGCAGAGGAGAAGCTGTGTTGCAGGGTGGATGCAGGCAGGGACAAGATCTCAGAGATGTTCAGCTTGAACCACTGAGGGTGCAAAAGGGATTGGGCTGGGGAACCCCACCCCATGAGGTGAGTCGGGCCGTGGCAGCAGACTGGGAGCCCAGCACACCCTACCTGCAGCTTCACTCAACTTCCACTTGGTTCCCAGGAGGTGATCAAGGTGTCGCCTGGCTATGAACTGGTTCGGAATAGAGAGCAAATTTCTGTCACCTTGGGGGATGAGATGTTCAGTGGGGAAAAGCAGTTGGAACCTGAGATCACAGACAGAGCCAACATTTCCAGGTAATGTCTTTGGCCAGCGCTGGCTGCTCCCAGTCTGGCCTGGTGGCCTCAGCTCTGTCGTGCAGGGCCAGGCCCCCTGCCCAGAAGGTGCTTTAAGCTCACTCCTGCCCCTTTCCCTAAGCCACTCCTGCTTTGCTGTGATCATGCTATGAGCTGGTCTTGGGAGCAGGGTGGAGAAGAGAGTGAGTTGCAAACAGAGGAGCACTTGCTCCTGGGTGAGGAACAGGTGAGGCTGTCATAAAATCACCTCTGTTTGGTGTGCAGACCATGTGTATTTGGGGCTCTGGGAGGCTAGAGGCAGCAGAAGCCCAAAATGTTGCTCGGTTCCTATCTCCGGGAGCTCCAGTATGGAAAGCTATGGTCCAGCCTGCCCTGTGGAGTGCACAGCCATCCTCCCAACATCAAGCTCCTCCCATCTCTGTCCTCCAAGTCATACCAAGGATAACCCCATATCCTTTAGCTCTGCTTCCTACATTCCATGTTCCCATCTCTTTTCTCACCTTCTACCAAAATTCAGGCATCTCTCCCCTTACCTGCTCTTTGGAATGGTTCTCAGGGCCATGCCTTGGAGCTGCCCTGATCCCACCTGTCCCAGGGAAGCCAGATCCAAGTCCCTCCTTCCACCTGGTGGGGACATTCAGCCTGTTTCTCTTTCACTGTTCATCTTCTGCAGGAAGAAAAGAGGTTGTGTATTTACAGTTAGGGCAGCATCCACAGCTACCTCTGAGCCTAAGAAGAAAGTTGTCAGTGGGTTTGGTGGTGCTCACCTGTAATTCCAGCACTCTGGTCACTCTGGGAGGTTGAGGCAGGAGGATACCAAGTTCAAACCCAGCCTGGGAAAATTAGTGACTTAGCAAGACCCTGCCTTGAAATAACATATTAAAAGGTGGTGGGGGACAGACATGTTGGGGACATAACTCAGCATGAAGGCCCTGGATTAAATCCCAAGTACCAAAAAAAAAAAAAGAAAAGAAAAAGGAAAGTTGACATCAGTTGTCAACTTTATAATAGAACATTATAGCCCATACCTGTTTATTCCCAGTCAAGCTATGAATGTCACTTGATCATGTTCTAAAGACATTATTCGACTTTCTCAAACCTTGGCAACCTCTCTCCCGTATCTTCTTGATCCCCTCCTAGCCATTCCATGTCCAATCAGACATGGAGCACTATTGGCCAAGGGGCCAAAGCCTTTTGAATTGAGGATGTCCCCTCACCTCCACTACATGTAATGTACCTTCCACCATCTCTACTCCAGCATAGTCAGACAGGGCTGCTGACCTGCCGCTGTCATGGTGGCCCCAGATCAGAAGCAGAACACAGTTACCTTCTCCAAAATGCCCTCTTCATCCGACTGAAGACATGCCCTGACACCATCAGTCCAGTTGTTCACCTTCCCAATCCTCTACTTCTGCCACACCCATTTTGACTGTCATTACTAAACCAAGGTCAAATGCTAATAAGTGTCTGATACAGTTCTATTTCTCTCCTCCTTAGTAGTATGCCAAATGACCCTGCTTTCTTCTGGCTACTGCTGGGTTGAGTTGTCATCACCCTGTTGTAAAACATATCCTCCAAGACCACCCCTCCATCCTGTCACCCACACTGTAATGGTGGAGCTGGTGCAGAACAAGGCCAAGTTCCCACCAGACCAGAGTCATTTGTCTTGGGGACCTGACTTGCATCATATGGTAAACTCTGTGAATGACGGAATTGTTTGTGCCACAGGACCAATATCATTTGTGACCTTGAAGAGCAGATCTCGGAACTGACTACAATAATAGAACAAATGAATAGAGACCACCAGGCTGCCCGGAAATTGGTGAGTGTTCCTTGCATTGGTGAACATCTTTACTCATATGTATGCCAGGTAAGAGGACAATCCCCCTTCTTCCTGTGAACCATGCTGTCCTGGTGGCAGGACCGTGCACCCAGTTCTCATAACTTGGCATTCGCTGGGTGCCTTGGGGTGGGGAGTAACACTGTCTTCTCTACACTAGGGAGTGCTGTCACTCCCTGTTAGGCCTTTGTGATGAGGTAACCCTCAGAGGTTACCAGGCTCTTGCTAATTTCTCCAGTGTGCAGTGTGCTTCCACCATGGCTCAAAAGCTTCCTGATAAGTGTGAACACCCTCACTCAGAATCTACTGATGTCATTCACACTGTTGCACTTTCTGTGTGTTGAATGGATACTTCTCGAGATTTCTTCATGTGTTCCAGCAGGGTCCCTCCATCCCCACCTCAAGCAGGTCTACTTGATGGCTGGGCTGGAGCTTACCCAGACTCACTCTCTCTGGTGCTACTGAAACCCAGCAGGTGGCCCCTTGCCCTCTGTTATGGCCCAGGAATATCTGACTCCTATATGGACCCAGCCTAGAACTCAGGATAAATCCTCTCCCACTCCTGATTATCTTACTTATCTGAAAGCCTTGCAAAGTTGATGTTTATTGAAAGGAAATCACATCAGTGCGTTAGATCACTCAGCTCAATAAAATGGGTCATTAGGCAAGGTGCAGATTTTGACTCAAGACATGGTCCCTATGGAAGATATATTTAGAGATTATTTCCTTGGAGACACCCTAGACTGTGGTCTTCAAAACACTCCCACATATAAGCACCTCACTTATGGTATGACCTGTGGAATGGAAGGGTACTGATGCTGAGCCTTTGGTTGTGTCAGGAGTCCCTTGCTTCTCCGCAGTTGTCAGAGAGGGACAAAGGCAAGCCCCAATACTTTGTCTTAGCTGACAGTTGGCAGTGGATGGGTTTGAGGAGTTAGTTCCTCCTCAGACACTGGCCAGAGGACCCACTGTGTTAGCATGAAGGGTTACCTAAAGGCAAGCAAGTCCTGTTTGCTAGAACCAACATGCTGTCCACAGGGATTGGTTAACACTGGGCTCTAAGTTTCTTGAAGGTTCGTTTGAGTGTTAGTCAATTTTGACTCTTCAGGTCAAGCGCTTTATCCAATAAAAGATTGCTTAATGGGATTGTGTATCCAAGTACCCAAAGTTCACAATCTCACAAAGAGATGGCAATCTGGCACAGGAGACCAGACCAGCTCCAGCAGTATGAGCTGATTAAGTTCAAAACCATGAAGAGTGAGGCAAGACTTGTTCCATTCCCCTCAGTAATAATATCTCTCTGATACTCAGAATCCAGATGGAAAAGGTGTGGGGAGGGGGGCCTGTGATGAAGAAAATCCTTGGGATGAGAAGATCTGAGACCACAAAGATCCTCAATCCTGGGTTTTGCCTCATTTCCAGCTCTGCAATGAAATGGAACGCCGCTGTGATGAGATGAAGCAGAACTTTAAAAACAAGACCAGGTATGTACTCTGACTTGCACTCCATGTGCTGAGGATCCTGAGGTTTCTGTGGCTTTGCAGGGTGTGCCCTGTGGGGATGGGAGCAGAGTAAGGGAGGTAACACCAGAGTCCTTGTGAGTTTCACTGGAAGCCACTAAAATGGAGCACAGGAAAGGTTACTCCTGCTTTTGTATTCTATCACCCATTTTTTCCCATTTCAATTATAATCTTTCTTTTTGTTGGTTCTTAAGAAGAGCCTGCTCTGGCTAAAATTTCTTTCACTTTTTTTTTTGTGGGGGGTTACCAGGGATCAAACTCAGGACCTTGCTCTTGCAAGGCAGGCACATGCCATTGAGCTAAATCCCCGGCCCCTAAAATTTCAAATACTGTATTAAATAGGAGTGATAAGAGTAGACACCCTTGCTTTTTTTTTAGACACCTTTGTTTTGTTCCTGATTTTAAGGGGGGTGCTCTCACATTTTCCCATTTAGTGTCATGCTGTCAATGGGTTTGTCATAATGACTTCATTTAAAGTAAATTTCTTTTTTTTAACCATAAATGAATGTTGGATTTTGTCAAAGGCTTTTTCTGTATCTATTGAAATGATCATTTAATGACCATTAAATCATTTGATGATTTTTATCCTTACTTCTGGTTATGTGGTATATTGCATTTGTTGATTGATATATGTTGAACCATCCTTGCATTCCTGGGAATAAACCAACTTGGTCAGGATATATTATCTTTTTAAATGATTTGTTACATTTTGTTTGCAAGTGCAGCAGACCCTTGACTTATGAACTCAATTCATTCCCAAGGGCTCATTGTAACTCAAGTTGGTCAGTTGCCTTCAAAGTCTCTCTCCTGTATAATTTTAGGGCACATTTTCTCCCAGGCAGATCTCAGTGTCCTTAGAGGAACATTGGCCCAGGATTTCAATTAACCCCACACAATGAAGAATGTTATAATGTTCCTTCCAGAACTCTGTATGGGTTAAAACTGTATCTGAGACCATCTGGAAGCACAAGTGGCTGGCATTTGGGAGGTAACTAGGCTTTGGTCAGAAGTCAAAATTAAATTCCTATTGTAACCCAAGTTGTTTATATGTCAGGCCAGTTGTAACTTGAGGGTCCACTGCATCTTCTTGAGGACTTTTGCATTTAAGTTCATTAAGAAGAATGCCTGTAGTTTTATTTTTCTTTTCCTTTTGTTTCTGTTGAGTCCTTATCCAGTTTTGGTATCAGAGTAATGTCAGCTTCAGGAAATTAATCTGGCAGTGCTTCTTCTCTTTCAATTTTATGGAAGGGGCTGGAGAATATTGACATTAGTCCTTCCCTGAGGTTCTGGTAAAATTCTGCAGTAAGTCAGGTATGGTGGTTCACACCTGTAACCCCAGCAACTGGGAGGCTGAAGTAGAAGGATTGCCACAGTGTGAGGCTAGCCTGGGACATATAGTGAGACCTTGTCTCAAAAAAACAACAAAAAAAGTTCTGTGGTGATTCCCTTGAGTCTTGGGCTTTTATTAGTTTTGGGTTTTTGTTTGCTTGTTTATTTTGTTTTGTTTTGCTTTTTGAGAAAGAGTGAGACTTACCTGGAACTATGTAGCCCACGGTGGTCTTGAATTCACAGTGATCCTCCTGCCTCAGCCTCCTGAGTGCTGGGATTATAGGCATGTGCCACTATGCCCGGCTAGGCTTTTATTTGTTTATAGAGTTTCTCTTACTGCTTCTATTTCATTGCCTATTACTGGTTCTCTTTTGTTCAGTTTTGAGAATTAAGTGTGTCTGGGAATTTATCCATTTTTTTTCTAGATTCTCCTGTTTATTGGAATAGAAGTTTTCATAATAGTCCCTTATAGTCCTCTGGATTTCAGCAGTGTCTGTTATGATTTCACCTTTTTCAATTCTAATTACATTGACAGGAATCTTCTCTTTCCTTTTTTCATAAGTTTGACAGAGTCTATCAAGCTTATTTATCCTTTCAAATAAAGAACTCTGGTTCAGTTAATAGTTTTCTCTAACAGCTTCTGGCATTCTCTCTTTGTGCTGAATTTCTGAGATCTTTTACTATGATGTATCATTAAGAAGTATTTTGTGATTATGGTATTTGGGATTCCATATACATGATTTACCCAAACATTGAATTTAGATTTGGAAGTGTTTCTGCTATGATTTTGGTGAATAAATTCTTACACCTTTTGTGTCATCTTCTGATCTTTTCTTAACTCCTACAATTCTTAAGGTTGGGTTTTTCTTCTTTTTCTTTTCCTTCTTTTTGATTATTTTGTTATCTAGCAGCTGTTTGGTCCAGTTTCCATGATGTCTTGTTCTTTTTTTTAAGGTTTTTCTAAGTACATGATGTACTACATCAACCTTGTCGTAGTTTTGAAACCCTGTTCTCACCATGGTCATTTCTGCTGTCCATACTTTCAGTAGAATTTTTATATTCTGAATTTCACTTGATTTCTTTTCATATTTTCTAATATGCTACTAAAATGGTCATTGATATCTTGAATAGTCTCATTTTTTTGTTTTTGTTTTGGTTTGGTTTGGTTTGTTTTTTTTTTTTTTTACACACCCATTTTGACTGTCATTACTAAACCAAGGTCAAATGCTAATAAGTGTCTGATACAGTTCTATTTCTCTCCTCCTTAGTAGTATGCCAAATGACCCTGCTTTCTTCTGGCTACTGCTGGGTTGAGTTGTCATCACCCTGTTGTAAAACATATCCTCCAAGACCACCCCTCCATCCTGTCACCCACACTGTAATGGTGGAGCTGGTGCAGAACAAGGCCAAGTTCCCACCAGACCAGAGTCATTTGTCTTGGGGACCTGACTTGCATCATATGGTAAACTCTGTGAATGACGGAATTGTTTGTGCCACAGGACCAATATCATTTGTGACCTTGAAGAGCAGATCTCGGAACTGACTACAATAATAGAACAAATGAATAGAGACCACCAGGCTGCCCGGAAATTGGTGAGTGTTCCTTGCATTGGTGAACATCTTTACTCATATGTATGCCAGGTAAGAGGACAATCCCCCTTCTTCCTGTGAACCATGCTGTCCTGGTGGCAGGACCGTGCACCCAGTTCTCATAACTTGGCATTCGCTGGGTGCCTTGGGGTGGGGAGTAACACTGTCTTCTCTACACTAGGGAGTGCTGTCACTCCCTGTTAGGCCTTTGTGATGAGGTAACCCTCAGAGGTTACCAGGCTCTTGCTAATTTCTCCAGTGTGCAGTGTGCTTCCACCATGGCTCAAAAGCTTCCTGATAAGTGTGAACACCCTCACTCAGAATCTACTGATGTCATTCACACTGTTGCACTTTCTGTGTGTTGAATGGATACTTCTCGAGATTTCTTCATGTGTTCCAGCAGGGTCCCTCCATCCCCACCTCAAGCAGGTCTACTTGATGGCTGGGCTGGAGCTTACCCAGACTCACTCTCTCTGGTGCTACTGAAACCCAGCAGGTGGCCCCTTGCCCTCTGTTATGGCCCAGGAATATCTGACTCCTATATGGACCCAGCCTAGAACTCAGGATAAATCCTCTCCCACTCCTGATTATCTTACTTATCTGAAAGCCTTGCAAAGTTGATGTTTATTGAAAGGAAATCACATCAGTGCGTTAGATCACTCAGCTCAATAAAATGGGTCATTAGGCAAGGTGCAGATTTTGACTCAAGACATGGTCCCTATGGAAGATATATTTAGAGATTATTTCCTTGGAGACACCCTAGACTGTGGTCTTCAAAACACTCCCACATATAAGCACCTCACTTATGGTATGACCTGTGGAATGGAAGGGTACTGATGCTGAGCCTTTGGTTGTGTCAGGAGTCCCTTGCTTCTCCGCAGTTGTCAGAGAGGGACAAAGGCAAGCCCCAATACTTTGTCTTAGCTGACAGTTGGCAGTGGATGGGTTTGAGGAGTTAGTTCCTCCTCAGACACTGGCCAGAGGACCCACTGTGTTAGCATGAAGGGTTACCTAAAGGCAAGCAAGTCCTGTTTGCTAGAACCAACATGCTGTCCACAGGGATTGGTTAACACTGGGCTCTAAGTTTCTTGAAGGTTCGTTTGAGTGTTAGTCAATTTTGACTCTTCAGGTCAAGCGCTTTATCCAATAAAAGATTGCTTAATGGGATTGTGTATCCAAGTACCCAAAGTTCACAATCTCACAAAGAGATGGCAATCTGGCACAGGAGACCAGACCAGCTCCAGCAGTATGAGCTGATTAAGTTCAAAACCATGAAGAGTGAGGCAAGACTTGTTCCATTCCCCTCAGTAATAATATCTCTCTGATACTCAGAATCCAGATGGAAAAGGTGTGGGGAGGGGGGCCTGTGATGAAGAAAATCCTTGGGATGAGAAGATCTGAGACCACAAAGATCCTCAATCCTGGGTTTTGCCTCATTTCCAGCTCTGCAATGAAATGGAACGCCGCTGTGATGAGATGAAGCAGAACTTTAAAAACAAGACCAGGTATGTACTCTGACTTGCACTCCATGTGCTGAGGATCCTGAGGTTTCTGTGGCTTTGCAGGGTGTGCCCTGTGGGGATGGGAGCAGAGTAAGGGAGGTAACACCAGAGTCCTTGTGAGTTTCACTGGAAGCCACTAAAATGGAGCACAGGAAAGGTTACTCCTGCTTTTGTATTCTATCACCCATTTTTTCCCATTTCAATTATAATCTTTCTTTTTGTTGGTTCTTAAGAAGAGCCTGCTCTGGCTAAAATTTCTTTCACTTTTTTTTTTGTGGGGGGTTACCAGGGATCAAACTCAGGACCTTGCTCTTGCAAGGCAGGCACATGCCATTGAGCTAAATCCCCGGCCCCTAAAATTTCAAATACTGTATTAAATAGGAGTGATAAGAGTAGACACCCTTGCTTTTTTTTTAGACACCTTTGTTTTGTTCCTGATTTTAAGGGGGGTGCTCTCACATTTTCCCATTTAGTGTCATGCTGTCAATGGGTTTGTCATAATGACTTCATTTAAAGTAAATTTCTTTTTTTTAACCATAAATG